CTTACTTCCTTCCATACCTTCCCCGCCTTGGTGTTTTAGCTACCTAGCCTTCAAGAACTCACCTTGCTCTGTACCACGTCAGGCCATTTGCACACTTGGGTCATGGTTCCTGGAATGTTCCTCCCTCCAGCGTTCCACACTTGACTTAGGAAACCCCTTAGGTGGTTACAGGAGTACACATGTTGGCAGCCACTTCAGCTGGAGCCTCTTTCACTTTGTACTTATTAGTAAGAACCTCACTGATTTCACTCATGCTAAGCCATGCTAATACTCAGAATTTTTTTTTAAAGAATATCAAACACTCATGTGGCCCGTGAACAAAACACACCAGACACTGTGGTAAAGGCTTCACATCTATCAACTCATTTAATTCTCACAGCAGCCCTCTGACGTGGGCCCTATTTTTGTCCTCATTCTCATCTTACAGATGAGGCAGTGGAGGCACGGAGAGGTTACGTAGCCTCCAGGCCGTGCCCCTCTGCATGGCTCGCCTTCTCCACTACAGAGGACTACGCCCGGATGGTGTAAGAAACCCTGGCTTTGATGGTAAGTAAAAGTGGGTGTAAATTCTGGCCAAGTTAACTAACTTCTTGTTTTTCTTTCCATATGTAAAAATGAGGAAAATGTCATTCACCACAAGCAGTGCTGTGAGGGTTTAAGTGATATTTTGCGTGTCCAAGTTTGGCATGTAATAGGTAGGCCCTTAATAAATTTAAATCCCTTTTGCCTCTTCCAATAATCAGTATTTTTCATGCATATATACACACATGCATATAGTTTACCTTAGGCAGTTACATAGTCTCAAAACTCTTACATACATCAGAAAAGAGGTAGGTATCCCCTTCACAAATAAGGAAATTGAGACCTAAACTTATGCTACTTTACCATTTATAAAATACTTAATTCCTCTCTCTTTTAAGGTAATATAATACAATAATATGCCCCAATGTAGTGGTTTAAGACCTCAGCCCCTAATCCTAATCTTGGCCCCAATCAAGAGACAACACAAGGCAGAACACATTTTCAGAGCTCATGTCTTTATCTCTTCAGATTCTATTACTATCTCTTTTAAGCTAAAAACACAATATAAAATAATAGAACATCAGGAGAAACTAGATATTCTGAATCATTTGCCTGCAGCCCAAAGTACATACCTTGAAGTATTTATACTACATCATAATTGCTGAAATTTAATCTCATGATTAATCATACTATCGTACTGCAATGCAGAAGTATTTTGCAGGTGGCATTTATTTATTCATTCAGCAAATATTGAGAATGAAACATGAGCCAGAAACTAGGAAAGACAGACAGAATCCTTGCACCTGATGAACTGTTTAGTAGAGAAAACAGATCTTTGAACAAACTATTATAACATAATTTACACTTTTTCCTCTGAATAAATACTTATTGAACTAATTGATGATTCACTGCATGGGTAGGCTAGAAAAGAACGATGCTGGCAAACACTGTGATTGAAAAACATAATAATAAAGAAAATAATCTATTATGTATAGCACATTACATATGTAATTTCTGTGGGCATGGAGTCTTCTGCTGCTCCCTATATCTCCGCACACAGACCCTCCATCCACCCATTGCTCACGAGAAGAATCTGTCAGTGTTGACACCTCTCATTCTCTACCCCGAACCCCTCTACCCAAATCCAATTTGTACCCAAACCCTTTTCTTTTAACGTTTATTTAAAATTTTTTACCTCTCTCTCCATGACCATTATTGTTAGGCCACATGACTACCTGCTAAAGTCCCTAAAACAATTTTCTCATAACTTTTAAAAACATAGTCAAATGTCCTAATATCCTGTCAGGCCCTACGTATTTAAACCCAGACATAGATCTTTAGTCCCATATTGAATCGTACCCCCCCTCACTCACGGGATAGACTAGACTCCTTTCATTTCCCCGTTGCTACCGCAGGACCCTTGAACAAGCCATTCTCTCTGCCTGGAAGGCTCTGTCTCACATTCTTAACCCAGGTGTCTCCCAAAGTTAACTAAAAGGACCTAAAAATCTTTAAATGCCATGTGGTCAGAGAGGCCCCACATTGAAAACTGATGCCTCCATTATGTGTTCTCATAATAGCATGTTCTCCCCTGCCTCACAGTGCTTGTCACACTCTGCACTTAGACTTTTAGTTGTGGTTATTTGATAAATAGCTGTCTTTTCCACTAGGCAGAAAGCTTCATGAAGGTGGAAATCATGACCATTTTATAGGCTCTTATATAATCCCAACATTTAGCACAGTGCCTGGTGTTATATTCTACTAAGACCAATGCATCTTCATATGATTTCCTTTATAGATACAAGTATGCATTACTGTTATTTATTGATAGGTTAATATTTCAAAATGAAATGGAAAGCTCTTCTATGGTTACAAGAGAAAGAACAGCTCTGTTGCATAATGAATGTTCAAAATTATCCTAAAAGAAAAATCAAATTTGATTTGATAGAACTCTGGGTAGTCTAGCCTTTCTTTCCAATGAAGTTAAGTTGCTCTGTGATACAAGATGTCTGCAGAAACAAACTGGGTATCTCAGTGCGGTCGTTTTTTGCATTGTTGTTCTAATTCACTCATTCATGAAGATACAGAATCAAAGCTTGAAACAAAAGTATTTAGAATATTATCAGCATTAAAAGACTTTGTTTCATCACTTTTATTAAGAGGTGTCTAAATACCCTAACTAGCTGATTCATTATACCCAAATTCTAGTTTTTAAACACTATAATGTCTCCTTCTTTGAATAAGTACCTAGGAAATTCAGGATAGAAGATTCTCAAGAAAAGCAAATTTCTCAAATTTTTACTTATGTTGTTCAAAGAACATCAAATCTGGAAAGCAAAACTGCCCTTGATTCAAGAGGCAACAATTATAACCTTCCCGAGTTACTGCAACATTTATTATGTGTGATAGGTGAAAGTAAAAAGGAAGCTAACACGGTCAGAGCATTTTCCACCATCCCTATCTGTTTTGTCCTTCATGCTAACCTAGTTCTGACAAATCTACTCGGAAATCTACATTAAGGTAGCCAATAGCTTCACATGTCATTTACCTTTTTGTTGAGCAAGGAGGAAGTATCTGGTCATGCAACTCCTAAAAGCCAAACTACCTTGGATCCAGGGAACTGATTTAAATCCACACAGAACATATCTGAGATAAACGGACATAGCTTGGACAATGAAATCAATCTTGTTATTTTTATATTAAATCCTCTTAAACAATTTCCCAAACAATGCCATTCTAGTCACACATTGATAGATGGCTTGTTGGTCTCTGACATGATTTCTCACAGAAATTAATTTTCATAAAAGCATTCACTACAGTCAGTTGAGGGACATCTTAGAAAAGAAACTGACAATAACAGCAGAACTATATTTGCTTGACTGCTCCCTATTGCTGGTGCTAACATAGCATTTTCATTCCTCTCCGCTGCTTAGACATAGCTTACAAGTAGTATCTAGGGAGGAGTAGAAAATTTAAAATAAATAACCACATATTGAGGCCTTTCCCTTTACTAAAAATATTGCATGCTTGTTCGTATAAGAATTAAAGCAACCATTTGATGAGGTGTAAAGAACTATTCATAAAATCTGAATATGTTATTTTGCTTACAGACTTTCTACCTCTGCTCTTAGAAGACGAGGATTCTTTAGTATCTTAAACACTAAGAAACATCTTCAATTCCCGCTTAAATTGTAATTCCTATTTCCCCAAACAGTAGTTTCCATAAATGTATAGGGATATGTAGCATGTATGATATTAGCATAGGGAACTCTTTATGCTACCCATGTCGATGCATATTTAATAAACTATAATGATTGTGGATACAGTAAATTCTAAAATGTCTCCATTCTATATAGTCAATAGTGAACCACCACTAGAGGTACCTTTTTTTTCTGAAAATAAATCAAAGAACATGGTTATAGAGAACTCAAGAGTTTAGCCCTCAAAATTACATGTCTCAGTATTTAAATGTTACTGACCTACTTCTTAGGGGTATAAAGACTTTCAAGAAAATACCAAAACATTACCTAAATATAAATCTGAATGACTGGTAGAGGTTGGCCTTAAAATAAATGGCAATGTTTTCTAGAACACACACCTAAATTTCTTTAGTTTGTCAAAAGTAAAACTTTCAACCAATTGTCCATGAATATGATCTATATCATCAGTTAAGAGTTTTCCACTGAGTTATAAGATACTCTTAGTTTTATCACCTGGATATTTAATTAAAATTATCACCATATGCTCAGTAAGATGCCCCAAATGCAAGAATACCTAAACCCACTGACAATTCTCCCCCTTTCTAATGAATAAATTTGAGTATAGTTCTAATTTTAGATAACGGTTTTCAGCCCTTCAAAATCTAAAGTTATGCTTATGTTCTACTCAATTTCTCAGCTTCTGCTAGTGAATTTGCTTTAAAAATACTCCATTAAAATGGTCACACAAAAAGACAAAGCGAGACACAGATGTCCCTTTTTTATATGACAATAATGCAGCCCAAACTCTCAGCCTTTCACATCTGCTGCAGGTGATGCTCCTTCTTTGACTACTTTTTATTTTCTCCAAGCTAAAGAAAATCTTCAAAGTTATAAATTGAGAGTGTACTTCTAAAACTTTATAATTTTTTCCTAAGACAAATTATATCAACTCTTCATTCTATCCAACAATTAACCAACTGATGTAAATAACTACAGCCTTGTTACCTGCCAGTTTTAAAATGGTTTCCTTTCCTATTATCCGCTGTCTTGATTTTATGCTCAAACCTAAAATTATCAGTGAAAGAAAACTGCAATCGGGACCTGGGTAAATAATTTCAATGTCTAACATTATATTAAATTTATCTCTTTTTTCCATGAGAAAAAATTACCCAGACAGTATTTTCAAACTTTTTAACTTGTTATAAACAATCAACACCATACAAAGAAGAAAAGAGCACTATTTTAACACTGCGTATGTTCATGTAAAAACAGCTTTACCTTAATTATTCATCCAGTCCTGGGAGTCTTTCTGGAATTGTTTGGAATGGCAGAACCCTGAAACAGAGTTGACTTGTATGAACCTTTGGGCATCTAGACAATGATTTAAAGACCGGTGGGCGTGAAGGAGACAAGCCAATCACCACCACCACCTCGTCCAACACCTCCCTCTGTCCAACTTGCGTCAGCTCTTAAAAAAAGAAAAGCTAAATGAGTTTACTGTTTTTCATTTGGATTAAACATCAGTTACACCAATTTCTGTTTGCTTTTAGAATTTTGGCTTTTATTCAATAAAATACTTAACTGAAAGTTCTACCTTGATCGGTGTCATCCTGTATCAAGATTCTGTACTCTGGTTGACTAATAAATGTTAACTTTTCCAAAGGCTTATGAACTGAAGTCAAAATGAAACAACACACTAATAATAGTTATGGAGTCAGACTGTTAAGTGAAATATTATAATCAGAATGCATAGAAGATATTAGTTATACAGCAGAAGAATTATTTTCTTTCGAATTCTTGACTTATTTAGAGAAAATATTGTAGAAGGACAGACACTTCCAAACGACACCAAATTACTCAAAGTGCCGTGAGGTTGAAAGCCATAAGCCCTGTTATTGCTGCTACCTGCCAAAGCAAGTGTGCTGAGTAAGCAAAATTCTTTTTGGAGGTTTTAAAGAATTTTTAAATAGATGTTTTCCCCCTTTTAAAGAAAAATCTACTTGGCTTTCCACATGTCAGAGAAAGATTTAAAATGTACATATGCTTATATATTAAAAACTTTTATATATTTTGCCCTGACCAGGTGGCTCAGTTGGTTAGAGCACCATCCTGTAAACCAACAGTTGGTTATGGGTTCAACCCCAGTGGGGGCACACACCCAGGTTGCAGGTTTGATCCCCAGTTGGGGTGTGTGTGGGAGGCAATCAATTGATGTCTCACACTGATGTTTCTCTCTCTCTCTCTCTCCCCATAAATCAATTTTTAAAAAACCATATCCTCGGGTGAAGATTAAAAAGATTTTTTAAATCAATTTTTCAATTAAAATCAATTTTTTAACATGAATAAACAATCTAGTAAGCTATCAGAAGAAATGCAAGATTAGAACAGTTGTGTTAATTCCCTATTTCTAGAAAAAAAACTAAACATTGTTCTTAGAGTAAGAAATGTTTAAGTTCATGAAAGACATTAAACATTAAACAAAATGTTCAGTTACCCATTTTCTTTTCAAATGTGCCCATTTGATCTATTAACTTTAATATGATGTATTTTCTTTTATTTGTATTTTAGTTGACTTGTCCTTTGTTTTTCAGAGTTATCCTGTGGTTTTTTTCCCTTTAGCAGATGAAAATTATTATGGCTTTAGGAAAAATAATAACAAATATACTATTTTAATTTCAGGGAAACTTGAAGAATATTTCTTTACAAATAATTTTTGTCATTTAATTGTAATCTTTCCAATTTACAATTTCCTTCTGTTTGCAGAGTTACCAGATGAATATGAGATTAATCAAACAAAAACCTGAAATAATTGTTAGAGAATTAAATACTTGTATCCTAATAAAATCCCACTTGATAGTGGGTCAACTGAAAAAGAATGAATCTACTACAAAACATGAATTTTATATGATATCTTCATATAAAATAGGGTGACAATAAATGTATGAATACCTTACGTTTTACCTCTTTAAAATTTTAAAGTTTTGGATTCCTTAGAATTCTGATCTTCTTTAAGTGTACTAAATAATTACAGTAGATTAGCATGTTGGATTGAAATAAGAAGCACACATAAGAGGCTTCTATGAAGGGTCTTATATTTCTTTTGAACCTACCCTAATTGCAAAATTCTTACCATAAAGCTTTCCTAACACTGACTTCAAAATCAAATATACACATATGAAACTAATTTGACAGAAGTTAACTGAATTAAAATAGTTCAGGAACTTGTTTGTTGTTTGGCTGCTTTTCCCTAGATATTTGACGTGTTTAGACATGCCAAAATTAATGAAGAAATGTATGGTCTGGCCTTGACAAAACTCACAGTAACTTTCCTTTCATAAGGAAAATGCAGACTTAAACATTATAGTTTAGTGTTTGAATATTTCTTAAAATCATACCATAATGTAACTTCATATATAGTTGGTAATAGATGCATACTCTTTTGACATTTAAAACATGGCAAATGCAACATATTTAGTGAGGTTTGATTTGGTTCCAGTATCACTGTAGGAAGAGGTAATGGACCAAAAAATGTAGACTTTACAAAATGAAAAATACGTGGGTAGTGAATAATGAAGTCTGAGCAATGAGATGACACTTTAACTGATCCTTCACATAAGGAATTCATGTTAAGTGCCACTAGGAACAGGTATATGAGACTTGGTCTACAGAGAGGTACAGAGGGATTATTGGGGGTAAGAGATATCCAAGTAAAGGGATACCTGGCTTTTCAGACTGTAACATGATTAATGTTAGCAGAATTTCACAGTATGCCCAAGGCCTCCAAAAGAGTCCTGGGGGGCTGAGGCCATCCAAGAAGCCTTCAGGGAGCCCATGTACCTTGATGAGGGCCTTGAAGTCCAGGTGATATATCAATAGCTAGAGAGAAAAGGAGATGCATCCTGGATGAAAAATGCAAACATGCTAAAAACATATTCTGGCAACAAAAAGAACCAGTATGGCTGCAATGGAGACTTTCTGGAGCAAAATAGAACAGAGTAGAATAGTCCAGACTGTAAAATTCATGAAGTGTAGAAACCCAGATTTTTAATGATGGAGATCTCTGGAAAGCTTCTAAAGGAAATCAGAAAACCAGCAGGGAAGGAATGCAAGTGAGATCATGGGGTAAAGATGGAGGCCGGGGCAAGGACAGCGAAGAGGTTTACTGATAGTTTGGCTTTGGCAATATTCGCCTGTCTGAGAAAAATGGCAGGAGAAAAGGCCAATGGAAAGGATTTGAATTGCGGTCAATGATAGTTTGACTCTTTCTTGCACTAGTGTTTCTATTTATCACTTTCACTAGCTAACAATACAAGCTACAAAAAATTTTATGTGGTCATTCAATGAGAAACAAAAACTTGCAATACAATCTTCATTTTTCGTTACATAGAGAGAGAGAGAATATATGGTAATAATCCATGCCCTTCAACACCCCTTTCATCAATCTGTGGTTATCATTTTCCAATAGTACAGAGAAGGTCCTAGAATGTATATTCCAGTATATCATCTATTAAATGTACAAGATTTAAAATAAATTAAGTGACTCAGATCATACCTATGTGCATATTTAAAAATCACTGATCACCTTGTTTAAAATTTCTGACTTCAGTCATGTCCTCAAAGAGAAAATGCCAGCTGTATTGAAGTCAAAATTGGTCAACAATTTAAAAAAATTCCTTAGCCAGACCATCATGGCCTTTTGCAATGACACTGGGAAAGATAACCTCTTGTTCTAATCATGACTGTACCCAAATTTCTAATTTTAGTTATAGGACAAAATAATACTTGGAAATGTAGTCTGATTATAGCCAAATTAGAAGAAAACAGGTAGAAAAAGTGATAACTGACAAACCAGATTATCTAATTTTTAATAATTTTATGTTGCCATTGTACCTGCACTCGCTTGCTTTTTTTTGCTCCCACTTCGAACTCCCTTTGGGCCACCTACATTTTTTCTTGCTTCTGTTTTTATTTTTTAAACTTTCTGTACTACACTGTTTTTATGATGCCTTATTCTCCAAGAAGAGTTAGTTTTTATCACACCTAGCCTCAGATTTGTAAACTCAAAATCTAATAAAGTAGATCAAGTCCCAGGATTATATATCTGTCTTCATCCTACAGTCAATATTAGTACCTCCAAACATAAAAATCATTTACATTAACCCAACTCTTTTTTGTAGTATTGTAGGTAAAAGTCTATCTGCCCTACCAAGTCATTCTTAAAAACAAAAAACACTAGCACAACTGAAGTTAAAAACAAGATTTTGATTACTTCTTTTTAACATAGGATTTACCCTCTGGCTTTTGGGTTTCAGGCTTACAGTGGTAAAGGGAATTTGTCACCATTTTAATGTCATGCTCTGGCACTCCAAATCCTTTATTTTATCTCTCTTAATATGAATACATGCAAAAGGAAGGAGGAGGAAATGGAAGAAAAGGGGGAGGAGAAAGAAGAAATCCATGCAGAAATGTTACAGAAATCTTCATAAATCATTCAAAAAGCAGAATCCCACCTTATTCTGAAAGTGAATTGAGTGCTTAGATACTTGTGTTACTATATCACTTGCAGAGTGATGAAAGCTTAACTATGTTAATAGGTATCTCTCTTGACGATTATGTAATTATTAACCTCCACTTACATAACAAAAAATCCAAAACTGGATTATTATATTTTAGTACATTTTTGATGTTTCTGTTTAACAGAGCAACACCTTAACACACATACATTATGAATGACTTTATGAATAGCCTTACTTGATGATAGTGTCAAAAGGTCTAAATCTGGGACCCTTCTAAATATGAGGCCCCAAAGGGCTTCGCTGCCCAGGGCCCTGGGAGAGGCCCTGCTTTTCTGTTCTAAAAACTTCCCTAAGAGAAATGCAGTGACCCAGGTGTGCTGAGGACATTGCCTTTCGTGGATGGCACCCTCTCTCGTTAGCCTAGCCCACTCCACCTTTACAGTTATACAATGGTACTTTTGAGAAATGTTTGAATAGTCAATTACTATGTTGCAAAATTAGCAAACAAGTTTGGTGCGAGTTGACAAACTTACTGACTTTGCCACAGACCTAAATAGAAAATCCCTTTTAGCCTCAGCTGACCAAAAAAAAAAAAAAACCAAACAAACAAAATAAAACAGAAGACAGCTCATGTTGTTGATGATATTTTGTTCTCTGCCTTTCCCTTTTCAAGCAATGCAAAACCTTCTGGTCAATTTCACTTCTTGATCCCACATTGAAAGGATGCAGAGGAAAGAGTATCAGAAGTTCATTCCTGGCCTCTGCCTAAGCAGATAGGTCATGGTAAAGAAGGAAACAAGGTTTGTAAGGCTTACGACT